GAGTCAACTCTAAGTAGACTGTTAAGACTTTGGTTCTTTCAACCGACCCACATGCAGCCAGCCTTCCTTTCCATCCAGGTAGAAACAAGCAGCAAATACTAGTTGCTGTAAGTTCCTTTTGGTTATTTCAGTCTTGCAGTTTGGGCAAGGTGACAATTGCTGTGCCTAGAAGCAAAGCTATTGAGTGGTTTGGGGAGATCTGATTACAGCATGCATAAGAAGTTTGAACTAAGAAAATGCTGAAGGTGAGTTTCCTTACTCTTGTTCAAACTCTGGCAAATGTGACTATAAAAGGAGGATAGAAAGAAAAAGGAAAATATAAAGCAATGAAATGCATAATTTTAAAGAACTCAGTTACAGGGAGCCTCGGGAGAGTCTCCCTGTGTTCATAAATCTGTCTGCTGTTTCGACTCTTCCGTCATGTACCACTTTCTTTGGTTTTATCTGTCTAGATAAATTAGCCAGCAAAGCATCATAAATATCCTTAGATAGCAAGTGCTATTTTTCCATAGGGAAAGATCTCCCGATTTTCTTGTTAGTTTGGGGCTTGAATAAACTGATAGAAAGTCAACACAATTAAGTTATTATTCCCACCATCGACTTCTTCCCTTATGCCTCAGTCACTCTAGATTTTGGAGGAATGAATCATTGTGAATTCTTGGATCCCTGGAATTTCCCAACTGGACCAAAGTTGTCACTCAAAATTTATGTAAAATAGGGTTATTAGGCAAATCAGGGTTTTTTTCCCTCATATACTATTGTTATACATATGCTTTTACATAGACATGAAAACTTTTGTAAAAATTTATTGAATGTACCAGATGTGCTACTGTTGTGGGGAGGAGAATACATTTTCATTTGAACAAGGAATTTACATGCCAACTGTGGTCTCATACCATTTTTATGCACTTCACAGCCTGTGTTCTAATTTTAAATGAGGACTCTGATGTGTATATTTATACGTAACCATTCTTGAATCAACCTGTAACTGTAAGCCTGTGGGGAGTGATTGTGTTTGAACATCTGGACTCACCACATGTTTTCAGTTGGAAATGAAACATCATTTAGAAGACCTATGTTTTTAAAAAGGAAGATATGGTGATGACATTCTATAGGTGTTCCAGATGATGAGAAATGTATTCTGCACATATGATTTGGTATTTATTATAGCAAATAGGATATAAACATGATATTTTAAACTCAAGTAGTTTTTATTCAAAGTCTTATCATGTCTTTCCCTTATTTCACAAAATTAAATGTTCTAACTACTGTTTGAAAATAATAATAATAAATTGAATTCTATGACAATCCAGTTTTTATGATATATTCTGTGGGAAATCAGTGATTATTTACCTTCAAAAATATAAATCATGTTTGAGATAAGTATCAGTTTTCAAATACCCCCAAGTCATAGTTTGTGACCATCAAACACATTAAGAAACCTATACTTTCTTTGAGGCGCACATATAATTTCTCTTAGTCATAATTAGAAATTTGCCTTAATTACATAATTGCCTAATGTTTAATATGTTTTCTTAGAATACTCAAAAGAGAATATTGATCTCATCTCGTAAAAACTGAATTAACCTCTTTACTGGAACCCTATGGTTTGTATTTACAATGTATGTATCTGTCAGCAGACACTAATTAATTGGAATCTGTTATCTTCTAAGAGGAACCTTAAAGCATTTAATATTTGCCTGTGCAGATTAAAGAAAAACACTGAGAGCTAATTTAAACAGAACTTTTCTAAATGTCAGGAACCCTTTAATCTAATAAAGAAAGTTCATGTCAGGAAAGACTCTTTAATCTCTCCTTTTCATACACTACAAAACCAACAATTTAACCTTCCTGCATGTGTGCATGTCTATTACCAGGATATGTATGTTGTTATTACATAATATCCGAACTATGACATAAACCAAGATTTTGCCGTTGCACATGTGCATAACTTTAGGAAAGCAAATGAATGAGCACTATGTTTTTAAATCAGAATTGTTTCTACTCATAGAATTGTGGTTACAGATCCACCTTTTCTTCCTTGGAGGTTAGGTTAGTTTAGGTTTCTGAAGAGTGGTGGAAAAACAATCCTTTTAGTAAAATGGCTTAGTATTAATATTCTTTAATGTATCTAAATAAAATTGTCCTTTCCATAGAATTTTGATGAGCTTTGAGGGAAAAATATTGTTAAAGTTAAGAATAAACTTTGCAATTTTGCATTTTATTGAACAGACAAATTTTCCTGTGTCAGCACTCCCTGAAACAGAATACACCTGTAACCAAATTTGTAATAATGGTTGTAATATGTGCACATAAATATTATCAATCATTTCTTGAAATTGAATACAAAGATAAGATACTTTGGCCAATTAAACTTTATGGCTATTTCATTCTCCTGTAATATGACCTTAAAAATATAAACTGCTACTGACTTCAAAATAGCCAATCAACATTTTACAATTATCATAATTCTTAACTGGACAAGCTCTTGTATGTTACTATTATATGACTTAAAGTATAACAATTGTTTCAGTCTAAAATTTCATCCTTTGGGCCACCCTTGACTCATACCCATGGGTAGTGTGAGGAAGCTACTTGTTACTTGTATGTCACTGAGATCCACAAAGAACTTTGATTTCTAGATCCAAACCATAGTTTAAGAATAATTTTAAATGTAGTAACTGAACCAGAAAATAAACTGGAGACCCATTATTACTTATTATTGCTTGTTATTTCAGTATTTTTTAAGGTGTAACTATTTCTACCCATGCTTTAGTGTTAATGTCATAATGGGGTTGGTCTCTCTCTCTCTCTCTCTCTCTCTCTCTCTCTCTCTCTCTCTTTAATTTTATTATTGTCCAGGATTCTAATGAATTACTCATGGGGTCCCCAAAACTATCAAAATAAAATTCCTGTCAAAATGAAGGAATATTTTAGTAGAACAATACCTCATCAATGAAAACAATCTATTTCTACAAGTTATAAATTATTGATGTCATGTACATGCTGAGGACAGAGTTGAAATCCCTTCAGATAACAAAGAAATTACATTTTTTCTTTTTAACTATTGTTACATCAGCCAAAGCCTCAAAATTAATCTAACCAAGCTCCTTATCAGCTAAAATACTCTGTGCCACATTAAAACCCAACAATGTCAAAACAGTGTAATATTGACAATACCAGTTCAAGTGACATTATTAAAGATCCAGATAACCTTCCATATAGTGATGTAGCTCAGCATAAAATGCCAATGAAAGGAAACTTTTCCAAACTTTCTACAGCAAAAGTGTTGAAACTCTAAATAACAGGGACATATTCCTAAGTACATATTTTGGCCACCGTTGGGATAATTAACTAAAATCACTTTTAAAAGAATGAAATTCCCTACAATTTGAAGACTTTTCTAAGTTTAAAATACCGAGTATTCAGAAAACACATTAATGATGAATTTGCATTTATCAGACATTTTAAAAGTTCTTATGCGGCTGGAAAAACCAGAAAGTTTGGAGAAATGAAAATAAAATGAACATGATAATGAATGCTCATAAATAATCATACATATTGCTTTGATGGATGGAAATACAAAGTAGGTGCTTTTTTAATACATCAAAAAACCTAGAACATGTCTATTTCTGAAGAAAGAGATGAGTGCACTAAATAATTTTTATACATTTTAAAACTGACATTGAAAAGTTTCAGAAGAAAAGTACATACACCATTTTGTTGCATATATGTATTCCTTGGGAAAACCATTTATATAAATCATGTGAAACAAATAAATATGAACATTAAAAAACTTTTAAAAATCTAAATACTTTCTAAGTAACTTTCCTAACTATAGAATTCTAAGAATTCTTTCATGTAATATATAATTTTGAAAATTGCACATTCATATTTGGTAAATGAGTACAAGAACACTTTTATTTTCCCACTGATATTAGACCATTGGTATTTTATTCATGCCTGACAAATGGTTCTTGACACATTTTTCCTGCAAGTTATCAAAGTAAGAATAAAGAGATTCCCCCATATGTACTGAAAATATTCTTCCTTTTATTGACTTCAAAACTTGTGTTTTCATCCATCTATAACTTTCTTTGTATGAATAAGTTCACATATTGACATGTATCACATCAACTTTTTAAAAATTTTTTTAGTGTGTCCTAGCAGAGACTCTAAAATGAATTTTTACATTCATGACAGCTACCCAACAGTCCTGAGAAAAGTCACTGCAGTAATAATTTTTTCCTTCCTTAATTTTCACATCCTCATTCAATTGAATATTTTACATACGCTCCCCTTGGACTTAAACCTTTTGTAAGTGAAATTGGAAAATGAAATAAGTCATGCACAGGAACAAGAATCACAAGTCTTCCAATGAATTATGTATTTTTGCATGCAAATACTTCTATTTTCACAATACTTCACTGTTAAACATGTGCTCTGCTAGGATTTGCTTTAATCTTATGCTACATATTTTATTGTATATCAGAGTTGAAGCCATTAACTACCTAAGTAAGTGTAACTATAATGATTCCAGATTAGCAGTATCTAAATACTTCTTGTAGGAGGATTAGATCAGGAGCAACCCCTATACAAAATAACAGAAAGAACATCACACACACAAGGTTAGAAAAAATACATATATGTATATATATAAATTTGAGATAAATTAATGTGTCGAGTAAAAAATTGCTTTTATTAAGTCTGTCTAATGCTAATAGTTTGATCATATATGCAGTATGTATACTGGGACTCTGAATGGGACAGCAGAATACCAAGTTACAAGTGACTAACATTACAGCATTCTCTTATCAAAACTGAGCAGAGTAAAATTTTACAGACCTGTTGACAACATTACTTCTATATTTTCTATAGACTCATAAGATATTCATAATGTTTCTGTGATCATAGATTTCCCTGCAATATCAGCAAAACTGAATGATCCCCTCTAAGAATTAATCCTATGATTTAAAAGAAATGACAGGTGAAAATGGAGATGAGTCATAAGAACAAAGGAACTTTTTTTAATTAAAAAAAAACAAACTTGCAACTCAGTGATACCATGATGTATATGAATCATCAACTTCCTTGCATTTTCTCTTAATCTCATAACCATTTTGCATGCTTGTTAATTGTACACATATGTTCTCTTGATAAGACTTTCTTGGTAAAGACTGTCACAGCTCATGTTTCTGAAAGAGAAAATTACCCTGCATTATAAAGATCCGATCAAACTCTACAAGTTATGTGTCTTACACTGGTTCCACTAAGCTATAAAACTTAGAAAAATAAAACACTACTTATTAAATACAGATAGAGCACAAAGCTGTAGCTAGGGAAGGATTATGACTTACACAAATGGTAGCAAACAAAGTGGTACATTTAGAAAGGTTGTATATTATGAATTGCATCACAGATCACAGTTTGAGTTCAACTTCCCAACTGCGAATGTGGAGCTCCTGGAAATGCAGACAATCAAGTAGATTCCTTGTAAGAGAAATTCAGTTGTTGTTCCTTCATTTAATGGCAGTTTTTCTTGTGAAATTATTTACACGGAGGAAGACTAACATGAAGGGGGTGGGGGGGGGAGCATTTCAACATAAACCATGCATTCCATTTAAAAGTGCTCATGGTTTAAAGTGTGTGAAAGTGTAATGATGTCACAAATAGAGAAATCTTAACTGCATCTTACCTGTAGTAGCAGAGTGTCTTGACAGTGTTGAGTGCCAAAAAGATGCAAGTCTCTAAATTAGAGAACAAGGGGTGACTGCGCTCTCAGTGTGAGCAGAGCTAGAGTGTTCTAGGCATAAGTGATAAATTGCCTCTTCAGAGTCGTCCTGACCACGGTGTTCATGGGCACTAGTTAGAATCACTGCCCGCAAAGCTTGCTGATGCTGCGTCTGCAGCCTTGTGCTTTAGCACAGAGACCTAATACATGAGTGTGCTGGAGAGGATCCTTTCGCCCCGCACTCCCCCTCCCTCTTTTTGCGTGGTCTTTCTTCCTCTGTATCTCAATGTGTGCCTTTCTCTCTCTCTCTCTCTCTCTCTGATGGAGAGTTATCATTTGGCTTATTCGGCAGACAGTCAAAAGAGGACAGGCTGGCAGGCAACTGTGCAGTTCCCCCCTGCTGAGACACATGAATGTGTTGTGAATAAAGACAAAGCCCCGAACCAGTGCAGCACGTTACTCCCTGAAAAAAAAAAAAAAAAAAACCCGCAATCATAGTGTGTGCATGGAAACTCTGCAGGAGGCAGGCAAGCTCAGGCGGGCGGCAGGCAGCGAGGTGGTTCACACAGCCCTGGCTCTTCCTCCTAGGAACGTACATCATCATAAAGTTTGGCTCAGGACCGTGCCTCTCCTCTAGGGGATCATATTTTCTGTGGGTAGAAGTTCTCTTATTAACTGTCTAGACACCTTGAACGAAAGTATTTCAGATAGTTTTCTGTTATGTTAAACTTGGAGAACCTAGCTGATCCTTGAATTGTTGCCAAAGTCGCTGGATTTTTTTTTTTTAACTTTAGAAAATGAAGATAATGATCAGCTATCTTGGGCCCCCGAATAAATGTTTTCATGGTAGTGGAAGATGGATTTCTCTAGTCTGAGTATTCTTGAGGGACTGCCTGGAGAGGGGATGTGAGGGTAAGGGATGGGTGAGCAGACACACAAACAAGAAGCATCAGTATCTCACAGGTGCCAAAAATAGAAACTAAGATAAAGTAAAGTGAAATTGATGAATGAGTCTGGAAGAACATCGGTACAAAGAAATGAACAGAACAAACAAGTGGAATTCTCTGATTTCCTGTAGCTATCACTCAGTTTTGATAACTGAAAATGATCCTATTTATACAGTTTATGTCTTATTGAGGTTTTTCAATGTACTAAGATATAAATAAACATTGGCTAACTTATATCCTGTATTTAGGAAAGATTTAGGAGATGACAGCCTGCAGGTATTTGCCTAAGGGTGGGAAAATTCATTTTCAAGAAAACATGGAAAGCTATGAAACTATAGATACAGAGCTTTGGGGTACATAGCTCCAAATGAAGATCCCAAGGAACTTATACTATCAGAAGATACTTTTTAAAGGACAGTAATATAATCCATACATTAGTTTTTGGGAAATTAAGTGTCAATTGGGATAAGATATATCTCTGAACTCGAAAACACCTGAAATAAATAATAGCTGGACTGCAATATGCATTTATTTCTACCCATCATGGAAATGAAGTTTGTAGCTAGTTAATCCACATGTAGATGTGAAAGATCAATTTGTATAGCCATGAAATTTATACCCAAACTAAAAAAAAAAAAAAAAAAAGAAAGAAAGAAGAATAAGGAATAAATGCTGCCTGGTAGAGACTTTGCCTGTAAATTGAATATGATATGTCTTTTGCCAGAAATTAGCTATATGGGTAGCTTGCTACATTCTAGATTGGAAAGTAAAGTATCTTTGTGAAATGGTCATATGCATGGTTAAAGATATGAAAATATTTTAGTAAGAAAGAAGGAAACAATGGACTATAGGAAAAAACAGAAGTATAGGCCATAATAAGGAATGTGTATATTGCAAATAATACACTATCCACTCTAGCTTTATTCCATTGTATAGCTGCAAAGTAATTTAGGAAATTGATCCCATCTTCAGCAGGAGATCCTGTTTGCTCTAAGCTATTCATGATAATAGCATCATGTTTCCAAGTAACTGGTTAAGAAACCACAGCCGGGGACAATCAGAGCGTGGTATATACTTGGTGGCAATTATCAGCTCAAGCATGGCATATTTTCTAATCACTGTCTCAATTAGACTGAAAGAAAAGAGAATTATTAAAGGTAGAAAGGGGATTTAGGATTTAGTTTTAAGATGAATATGAAGATTTAGAAAAAAAGTAACTGAATACATGAGAAATCAACAAACTTTGGATTAACCAACTCTGTAGTCAACACTAATGCAGAACTTCTAAGTTTGTGCATCAATACGTTACATTTCTTTTTAAGCCACTTTGATAAGCTTTTATGTTAGTGAACAAAGATTTCCTAATTCAAAGCATTTGATATACAATTTCTTGTCCCCAGTATTAACATGATAAATGAAACTCTATGGCTTAGTAATATCTATTCTTAAAAAAATAAGATATTTAAAGAGTATGCTGTTTCTACTTTTACCAGCTTTTAAAACTTTCAGCTTACTTTTTCAAATGGTCTCTAAAAACTTAATTTTCACTCACATTCAATTAGAATTACTAGAAAGTCAATGTGTTGATGACAGGGGGACATTTCACAATCTCAATAAATTTAAACATTGCTTGTTGTGTGTTGCAATTATTCTCAGACTGTAATGAGAATCACAAACTATCCTTGTGTGCCCTCACTTCAGTCTATAATAGACATCAATATATTTTAATAGACATTATATGTCCATACGCATGTTTTCTTTATGCCAGATCCTGCTATATATACTTATGATGAATGAACTCATGTAATCTTTACAATGGCTTTAGGAGGAATATATTATTCTATTTTCACTTCACAACATGAAGAGAAAACTGTCACACACAGAACTAAAACTGGTAACTAGATGAAATAAAAAATGTGAATAGCCAAATGTTGTTAAAGAAGTTGATACTATAATAATAAAAAAATCCTTCCCACAAATATAACAAAACACTCAGTTCTCAGAAGACTATTATCAATTCAGTATTCAAGGAGGAAATGACATCAGTTGCCATCAAACTTCTAAGCCCTTTTAGCGAAATATTGCAAGAGGAAACACTGCCCAATTAATTTTACAATGCCAGATTACCTGGATAACTAAACCAGAAAAAGACAATGAAAAATTGGAAACCAACAAACAAGTATATCTCATAAACTAAGACACAAAAGTACTTAACAAAATATAACAAAAGAAATCCACAAGTAGATAACATGGATAAAACATTATATCATATAAGGCTTTACCTCAGGAATTAAAGTTTGAGACAATAAGAAAAAAATAATAATAGCAACATAATTTACCATATTAACAAATTAGAGAGAATAGCTATACTATTAAATTAATAAATATAGAAAAACATTGGAAAAATTTGACATCTATTCATAGTAAATAATGCCTTAAGTTCTTAAACCTTCCATTCAACTTTGATTGGATATCCAGTCATTGTAATAAGATAAGAAAAAGAAATAAAAGACAGCTAGATTGGAAAGAAAGAAGAAAACATACACTATCAGTCAATCTGGTTATATATATACACACACACACACACACACACACGCACACACACAAACACACACACACACAATATGCTAAGAAACTTCCAAAATAAAAAGTATAAGAATTAGCATGAATTTAGCAATGGCAAAAAATACAAGTAAAAATAATCATATGACTTCAAAATAAAAAGGTTTCAGAATTAACAATTTAGCAATAACAAAAATTTAAATATATTAAAGTCAACATCAATAAACATTTGTAAAACAAAAGCATAATCATACATAAACACAGATTATACATACACAAATAATTGAAATGTCATCAGAAAATACACCAAAATAAATTTTTAAAAATATGTACAATATTTGAACACTAAAAACTAAAAAAGTAATCAAGAGAAATCTAAGACTAAATCAATGTTAATGGTTTATAAGTGATAATGTTGCTAAAATGCCAATTCTCTCCAAGCTGACCAAAGAATTAATTCAGTTTCTCTTATAATTAATGCTGTATTTGTGGGAAATGGATGAATTTTTAAAAATATATATGAATATAATGGGATCTAGAATGACCAAATTAGTCTCAAAGGAAAATCAGACATAAAAGACTTTCACATTAAAACTGTATCAGTAAGGATAGAGTAGTATTAATTTTAACTATCAGAGTTAGTTTGAAAAGACAGGAAAGACTTGAGAAACAGAGCTTGCTTGTCATGGAAGTTACAATGAATATGTACTGTTCTCTACACTCTTCTAACGTTGATTAAAATGTACCCTTTATTTTATTTAAAGAATGACTCACTAAAATTCACAAAAAAAAATGAAGAAGAAAATAAGCCAAGATCCAGAAGAAACTTGATTCAGATCACACAGTATATGGTAGAACTGTGACTTAAACTCTAATTTTTTTTTTCTCATAGCCACTTTGTATGCTATCTTTTAATATATGCAGAAAGAATTTTGAGCGGCAAGCATCAGAATTTTTAAGTTAAGCAATAACACACAAAAAAAAAAAGTGAAGAGAGAATAGTAGACAATGACCTAAATAAGAACTAGAATGTCACTGGAACTTGAAACAATTCTAGAGATCAGCATCCCAATCAATGTTTCTCCATGAGTTCTCTCTGATATTATTGACTCTTGCCTGTTGATTTTGATCTTATTGATCTCACCTGCTATCTATAAATATATTTTACTTCATGTGTTCTGACTTTCTGTAGGTTTTTCTGTTACCTTTTCTGCTTTGTAATAACTTCAATTTGCCATAATCCCTCAGGAAGCTCCTCTTTCTCAGCTTAATGTTTTCTACTTTTTCTAGTTGAAATTCC